GATGGTGTCTCCCAGGATCAGTGATGTGACTCACAGATGACAGGACGGTTCCAGGCTTGGCAGTGGTTGCCATCTGTCCTTCCCTCCAAAAAATACACTAACCAAGTAACCAGAGAAACGGAAGCAGAGCCCAGGTTCGCATCTCAGCCGCAGCTGGGTTCATCCTGGGAAAAGAAAAGGCTAGGCTGACACTTACCTATACATTTCTTCCCACCCTCCCAGAGTGGCCTTTTGGTTTATCATCTTTCTTTTTCTTATTTCTTCTTAAACAGAATATGGTGCACCTGAAGACGGCGAACTGAAAACACAACAACCATTTTTGCTCAAAAACCAGCTACTAAGTAAGAACCCCACATTCAAAGACCGCTTATTTATATTCGAGTCCTTAGATGCTAAAACTGATGGTGATGAGTGAAAGTCGCTCAGTTATGTCTGACTCTTTGTGACCCCCTGGATTATACGGTCCAAGGAATTCTCTAGGCCAGAATACTGGAGTGGGGAGCCGTTCCCTTCTCCAGGGGATCTTCCCAACCCAGGGATGGAACCCAGGTCTCCTGCATTGCCGGTGGATTCTTTGCCAGCTGAGTCACCAGGGAAGCCCTGATGATGACCTAATAAGGATTGTTCGTTTCTCCTAAGTAAATACCTAGACATGCACTTTACTTTCTAAAGAAATGATCTCAAACATACCTAAATTCTAATGTTGAACATGTTAGCAATCCCCATGCTTTAAACTTTTTTAACAGTGTTACAAATGCGGGAAGTATCTTAATAGTGATTTGGAAATTCATGAACTTAAAAACCTAGGTAACTGTCAAGAAAGAAGTACTTAAGAGAAAAGGGAAAGCAGCAGAATGTTGGTCTAGCTATTTTTGTTGCTGTAATTCAGTGAAGTGGTAACAGAAGGAATTTTAAACATCAGTAAGTCCTGTTCCTTTAGTGGGATTTGAGCTGCATTCTTTGGTCACTGCTGTTAATATGTGTATGATATTTAGGAGCCCTTCCTCCAGCAGGGCTCAATTAATGTCAGTTAATCTTTTTACTTTCAAGCACTGAAGATAAAATATCCCAATAAACTTGATCAGAAAGTCACAGAGAAACAACTGCCGGGTAAGAATGAATGTCTCTCTCCTTTCTGCTTTTGAACTGCTGGCCCTCCCATGAGGCAGCTGAAGTAGAACAGCTCATTCAAAGTGTGGGCTTTCACAGACAGTGGGCTTTTTACAGCAAAGTGTGGGCTTTCACTAGTCTTCTACATTCTAAAATACTACTGATCATGCTAAAACTACTCCTCCTGCGCCTGCCTCCCCACCGAAAGTTCGAGTCTCCCGTAACTTCTTGGCTTTTCTAGAAAACAGTTTTGTTAGCATCAGGAGCCCATGCGTGGTTACTTCTTTACCCGGAGGCAGGAGCCTAGGGCTCGCCCTTCAGGGCTCCCACAGGCCTTCTGCTGCCTCGTTCTCACAAGCCTGCTCTGGGGGCTTTTCTGGGCCAGAGCAACAGTGGCATTGGCTTGAGTGCTTGCTTCTGCTTACCAGTCATTAGCCCCTGCAGAGACAGCTCGTGGACACTGTTTAATGGACACATTTGAAATAGTTTTCTGTCAATAGATCAGTGTAACTTACTGTTCACTCAAGAGAGAAATAGAGTCTGAATCTTAAGCTCAAATTTAGCACAGTGAGGATCTGAAGAAATAAAATATTGTAAATGACTCTAGTGAAATACCTTTCTATTTGCCTGTCAGTGCAGTGAATTCACATTGATTTTTTAATTCATTTTTATCAAATAAAACAAGGTTATCCTGGTATTGCTTATGGAGGGCTTTTGTTGTGCCCAGAGAAGCACCTTTACAACTGAAAGCCATCGTCTGACAGCCACTCACAGTAGCACTCCACTGTTCCTTACCAGCAGCCCAGTTTCCACTCCTGCCACACGTGACTTTGCTACTGTTACATAACGCTGAATTAAAGTTAGTGGTTCCCCTTCTTTTTTCTGTTTTCAAACTTAAATACTGCCAGTAAGGACTCTAATGGGAACAGACAAGTGGAAGAGGACCATCAATTAATATAATTGATTTTGGGGCATGTTTGCATTTTTCCTTCTCCTTTTACATGAACTCAACTTGCAGGAATGCTCTTATTAGGTCTGTATTCATCTAACTGGGGCCGTCCTTTCCCCTGGAACACTCACCATGTTCATGGGCTGAGCTTTATTCACCTTCAAGTAGAATTAACAGATTAGACTAATATGGAGAAAATATATGTAATAATTATGCTATAAGCAATTTAAATCTGAGTTGTATACTCTCTAAACTCAGCAGTTAGAGTTATTAACCCATCACTAACCACCCTCTGAACAAGGAAAGCCAGTCCACCTAAACCCTTTGAAAGGACAAGATTATCACATATTCACAAATCAAAGCACAAACTGTTAACCGACATTATAAATGTTCATTTAGTGTCTGTATTCAATACATAAACAAGAAAAGGCAAGTTTTTATTCTAAAATAAAGATAACATTTATTATCTCAAGTTGCATAAAGACGCAGCTTTTACAAAAATGTTTGATAGAAAAATATTTGTCTGAATACATGTGATATCTGCAGGAACACCACACTATTGCTGTACCTCCAGCTAAAGCTTCAGAAAAACTTTCTCATAATCAAAATACCCAATATTTACCACAACCCATCTTTGGAAAGAAGTTCATGCTGCTTTCTGAACAAAGCATTTCCTCATTCAGCTACCCCTGGCCCAGCGGTCACAGACTGGGGGCCCTGGAAAGTGGGGCCTGTGGGTCGTCAGTCTGCACACCTCACCTCACAGAGGAGGAAACTGCAGCAGAGAGACTGGCACAAGTCCTCACTGAGCCCAAACCTGACGCCAGTGTCCTTTACGCAAGTCATCACAGGTGTAAAAAGTTAATGATTTCACTCACATTTATTTCTGTGCTGAGAATGATTTCTGGTTTATTCAGAGTAAGGAGGAAATATTAAACACCACGGACATGATATGAAAAATCATCGTCAAAGGGCACTTAGGTCTGACATCAGCTCCGTTCTCCCACAGCCCCCCAAGCAAGCCCCTAAGTGGCGTGACACCCTGATCTGGCGGCCTGCGTCGGGGGCTGAGCCGTCGCCTGGGCGTCCCTTGGGTAGACTGCGTGCGGAATGACGGTGACGGCTCTCATGACCAGTGTGGTCTTGGCACGTGAGCTCGGCTTACAGGTAGCCGTCACCTGAGAGAACTGATGTTCTTTCTTTTCCTTGACAGAATCCATGACAGTTCAAAAGGTGAAAGGCTTGCTGTCACGTCTCCTCAAAGTTCCTGTGTCAGAACTTCTGTTGTCCTACGAAAGTCCCAAAGTAAGTTGCCCAGAAAAAAACGCAAAGTCAAGCTGAGTTCCCTACAGTATGACGCACTGTTAAGCTAAGTCTTCACGTAACGTGGTTTGGTTCTGAATAGAAACCATATATCTTTGTTGGGGTGTGTGTGGGTATATATGTTTTGTCACATCTGTCTTAATCACCCCCACCTCTTTGCTCTAATTTTAGATGCCGGGCAAAGAGATTGAACTAGAAAATGACCTACAGTCATTACAGTTCTATTCTGTGGAAAATGGAGACTGTCTATTAGTGCGATGGTAACAGCCAACTAATAAAATCCAGAGGCTTGATAATGTATCATGACTGGGTTTCACTGAAAATAAATGACTTATTGGGACAATTCTTTCCCAAAAAAAAAAAAGAAGTTTACAACTTGCCCTAAGTATAGAATAGCTGTATTTTTCATAGAGAAGAAAACATTTCTAGGCATGTATATAACAGCAATAATAAAGGCTTTGCACCTACTGATGAGTTTCAGATTTTATTTCATAGTTCATGACTATATTTCATTATGAGAAGATGTAGGTACTAAATAGAACCTCACTACTCTAAAAATCTGAAGTGAGTTAATGATATATTCATAAGATCAGTATTAATGGAATCCTCTATTCATATTATTGGTTTAAAAGATTGCTAAAATGATTTGGCTGATTTGGGAAAGTCTCCTTTAAACTGAAGAACACATATCCTTTATGTAATATGTATGCTATGATCTCTCTTCTTAGTTGCACTGTTTTTAGAGTACTCACAAAAATTATGTGCTTTTCCCTACAGTTATACCCTAATGAGCATACATTCTTTCTCAGGAAGATTTCCAGCTCTGACTGAAATTCACTTATATTAGGTAAACATTTTACAATGGAAGAAAGCAACATTATTTCAGTTTCATCTATTTAGATATATCCTTTCCTATGGCATTAAAACCCTGAGAGGTATGATTTTACTTATATTCATAAAACTTAAGCATTAAAAAAAGGAGTATTAATATAGCTTGATCTTCAGGATTTATGTTAAATGGCAAAAGAATACTTGAAATTTAGTCTACTTAATAAATGAATGTAAAACCAAGGTACAGAACTGAGAATTACAGTGATTCCTTTTCAGGTTGCCCACTTCATTCAGAGATCTACAAAATCTGACCTGATCTCCAGAAACCCCCACTTTGGTGTAAGTGACCACAGGTCACACAGCATGAGTTCTTTTTGGCCTGTAATTATCCTACTTAGCTATCCAGAGCTAGTCTGCATTCCAGGCTGAAATTCAGACTAGCATACTCAAGATTTCTGAACGAGGCCGAGTTTTAACCAAAATGATAGGTAATGAATTACAAACTAGAAATGATGCAATAGGACTCAGGAATATTTTTTGTTTTTACAAACAATTTGGTATTTTTCAAGTCATCTTCCAATATATAAATAAGTTTTTCTTGCACTACAGCTATCTGTTGTTTTTTAAAAAGGAAATTTTGCGCAAATGTTAAATACCACATTGGTGAGAAGTGAAAGTGTCAGCTGAGAATTACCCTGAAAGACCATATAATCTGCGGCCAAACCTCAGGCTTCTGCTCAGCTGGTCATTCACCCACCCTGACCTTTAACACAGCAGATCGACCTCATCATCCTCTTGCTTCACACCGACAGGGGTCACCGCAAAGCTCCTTTAGTCCCCACAGCTGCGTGAGTTCCTGCGGAGAATACTGCGGGGAAGACAGCATTCCTGGTTCACAGGTCTTCTCACAAAGCCACAGGCTGTCCTGTCGAAACACAAAATGCAAGCTGACCCCCTGCTGCAGACAGAACGGGTGTCCACGGGCGCTTCCAGAGCCCAGTAAGGTGGCGGTCATTTCAAAGACGAGCGTGTCTGTGGGGTAGGGAGCCTGAGACTGTGGGAATCATAAACGCAGTCTCGTATCTGCTACTGGAGAAAAGCTGGCCAGACAGTACTGGGAACAGAAGCAAGTGCTCTGGAGAACCGTTTACGGTATTTGGGGGGACAGTACCAGTGCTTTCTAAGTATTATCCAGTTTAGTTCTCACGATAACCTGCGAGCTAGCAATTATTTCCTTGTTATGAGTGAGAAACTAAGAGTGAAGAAACTTGCTCCAGGTTACAGTGACGTTCATGCTGGTAGGCTGAGTAGGAAGGATTAAAATGGAGTCTTATCAGACCCCAGAGTCCACGTTCTCACCCACCAGCCTACTTCCCAGCTCCATGGACTGGCTTCTGCTTCCAGTAATATCACAGAGTACAGATTCCGTTCAATTCAAGAACATAAAAAGGTGGGACATAATAATCAGACTCCTTCCCACAAAAAGCTGTGGCCCTGATGGCTGAGCACCTCCAGGGGTGGTAAAGGAAATGGGAGGCCTTCTGTCTCCGCCCTGGCCCCAGGTGGGTCTCAGGGGAGACCCCACTTAGGTGGGCATACTGCAGAGTCACATTCTGTGGAGCTGTCTCACAGCCAGGATCTGAAGTCAGCCAATTCCTGTAAGTTTTAAAGCTGCAAAGAATTTAATGAAGTGTATAAAAATGTATAAACACTTTACTCTTTGTGGGTAGGAGAACTTCCATTTAAAACATTTCCTTTTTGGTTTATGAGACCCTGGTCAGTGATAGTGAATTAAATCAAGTGCACAGTTATTATGACATTGGAAGACTTTCCATTCACACTTTCTGCCCAGGGTTGGATAAGAGAAACCTCACTCACCTCTTCCGAGCCCTGCGGCCACCCTGCTCAGGCTTGCTCACCTGGTATCTTTTAGGTCCTATGGCTGCCATCCAAATGCCCATGCTTACATCTTCACCCTACACATGCCCCAGAAGGTTCAGAAAGTAAAAATTTCAGTGCTGTCTGGTCAGTAAAGACAGTGTCACACCCACTCCCACATGTACTCTTTGTACTTCTTCGTTTTCTAATTACTCTTCTATGAAGTGCTGCATGTTTTAACACTGATACACAAAGTAAAAGCTAGTGACCATTATTAACATGAAGCATACACACCACAATGAAGTGAGACTACATACTAAGCAGGCGGCCAGCCCCTCTTTGCATGGACCTTAAACTTCCAGCACCAACAGTAGGAAAGATACTGTGGATCTAAGACCCAGGCAGAGCTGTTTTATTGACACTGTCACCAGAATCAGCAAAAAATAAAAAGCTTATATTCCTAAGAAGGAAGACTAAGCAAGCTGAAGACTAAATCTTTACACTCCTCCAGGGATGATGCCTTTAAATACAGGCTGAAAACATAAGAAGTACATTCAAAGACGACAGGAATAAAATTTACAGCCAAGGTTTAAGGGATAGAAGTGTATCCCTAACCTCTGAGGGCTGCTGATTGCTATACAGAAGGAATACCATACATACTTTCCCCAAGGGAAGCTGCTCTGCTTTTAGGGCTGAAATACTAGGTCGAGTTTAAAAAAAAAAAAACCTGCTTGATGAGTGTACTTTTAGGTCAGAAGTCCTGAATTACCTGGTAGGTCTTCAATCTCCCCGAGTTGCCAGCCAGCCAGTGGACGATGTCCCTGGAGATAACATACCCCGACCCACATGCAAAAGCGGGGTATGCGGGGCTGGGGTACTCCAGCTCCTGCCACTTCCCAGTCCGGTCAACTGCCCAGTTCAACCTGAAACTGAGACTCAAAGTAAGCCGGCTTGCGTTGTTCGGACACGGGCCCTACCTACCACTGGTTAAGCCCGAGTCCTTAATTGATGCTACAAAGGAACAAGTTACAGAAGCAAAGAAAGGAAAAAGCTTATTTTTTAGCCTGAGGAATTAAGTATCTAGTGGTGTTTTTATAAAGAAGACTGGTATGTTAAATTCTCTCATGGAGTTTCTGAATCATCTTGCATAGATATATTAAAAAATAAATGAAAAATAAATTACCACTCCATATTTAGAGACATAGCAAATGGTTTCAGAAATGTATCATTCATTTAAGGAAGAGCAGTTTCTAATTTCAGTAGTAGGGCATGGTGATAAAAAGTCACGTTAACTTCCCCCCTTCATTACATTAGCCTGAGGTTTTCCATTTAAAAGAGTTTTTTCCCCTTTAATTGTAAATTAACAAAACATAGTAACTCTGGAGCCTAACAAGGAAATTTCCTATCTCAACTACATTTTTTTCTTAACTACATGTGCTCAGTACATGAAACGAACATCGATGGGCTAACAATGTTTAACTTACTTTCCCCACCAAAAATTATGCCCATCCAGATTCTTGAGGGCGATTCTATTAAACACAGCTTCCAAGTCTATATAACAGTCATCATCCGTCTTTAGCAACAAATCAAAGCTGGTTGTTTCCACAGTCCTGTTGGTGAAAAAAGGGATACGGCGTCAGGGTGCCCCTCCAATATCAAGAGCCTCTGCCCTAAGAGGAGACTGCTGCCAGCTACAGTCCTCACTTGGTGCTAGCAAAGTGGCCTAGCAGATGGATACCGAGCCAATCTGCAAAGGCGTTAAGGAAAAAGAACACAGTGGGAAAAAGCTTTGGCTTAGATGGAGCTTCTTAGGCCTTGCGCAGGACAGGCCAGCATGTCTGTCAAACAGCAGGACTCTGCCCCTTGCATTCCTAACAAGAGGCCTGCGTGAGCAGACAGGTGCCTTTCACAGAACACTGACACACAGGAGAATGTTCCTTGCTGCTATCTGTACCATACGCAGGTGTTTTATGGTGTTTAAAAAGCTGAGTCAAAACACTGAAATACATTTTCCCTTAGAAATGATCTTCAGTAATTCAGCCATCACAAATGACTTCTGGACGGCACAAAAGGGAGATTTCATTTATCCAGACATTAAAAAGTATATAATGGCAACTACAGACAAAACTGACTCTTCAATTTCACACTGCCAACCCCTGTATCTCTTTGTTAAAAAACCCAGTCTTGATAAGTAAGAACCAGTAAAATGACAGAAATCTGAACTAAAGAAATCTGGAGAAAAAGTTTCATTAGGTCACAAAATGGTGAATTTTAATAACAGATCCACAACTGAAAGCATAACCCTATGTTTCTAAAGTTTTATTTTCAGTTAACAGCAGAAGATATAGATACTATTTACTTGCTAATTGAAAATAAACTTCTGTGATGAAGGACACTGGGGTCACTGATGGAGCCCCTGGATAAAGATGAGTGAATAACAAAAGATGTCATTTACGGTGTGGAGGGTAGTCTGGGGACTGACTACTGGGAAGCAGGTCTGGATGCACAGCCTGTTAATAGGTCACTGCAGTGTCCTGGCAGACACGAAGGCCCAGAAGAGACAGTGGCAGAGAGACTAAGATCACAGAGAGATGCAAGCAGAAGAGACAAAACCTGAACTTACACAGTTGAGAATTGGCTCCCTATAGAAAGCCCTAAAACTCCGCAGTCCTGATCTCCACCTGGACCTCATTACCCGTCCTCACCTGTTTATGTCCTTTCCTTGGCCCCACAAACAGAAGCCCCATCAGTGGCCTCGAGCTGAAAGAACGTTCTTCTTACTGCAGCTGTCAAACTTAATCCTTGTATTCTGGGCATACCCACACTTCCAAGTCTTACTTATATCTCCCCTCTATCCACAAGAGGACTCCAAAATTATACTGACTTGCCCCAGCTATGAACCTACATAAATGGATTTAACTGTCTACCCCTCAGGACCAGAAGTTGGTAATTTCTCATAAGCAACAGAGAAGAACAGAAGGGACAGACTTTGGGGCTCATCAAGCAACAAGCTCTCTGATAAAGTTTTTAAAAAAAGACAGAAGATGTGAGTATACTTAATGTGTGATCTAGACAGAGTTTGAAGGTTTTACATCTACAGTCAGGGTAGACAGTATCAGAGGCTCCACAGAAAGTTACGGACTCGAGAGTAACTTAGTAATATTAACAACTACTTGTATTCAGTTAGTAAGTTACTATATACTTATTGTTGGTATTAAAAGGAGTTACAACCAAGACCCAAGAAATACTGGAGGGTCTGGTAAGTAACAATATGGCAGACTCTAAGTGTTGTTGAGTTTCATCTTATTAAAGGTTTTGAAATCAGGGCAGGTAGTTTTTCAATGAGTGGAGGACAGAACAGAAATATAATGTGGATGTTCAGCTGAACAGAACTCAGATCAGTAACCTGGGTGTGAGTGACTGTCAATGGGAGATACTGGGTGGGTGGGGATGAGGACCACTTTCAAACTCACTGATTTTCACCTAATGTTGGCTCCCGACAACTATGGGAAAGTAGGAATGACACAAAGTGAACCATCTTTACCTTGCTTTTGATTAATAGCACTCACATTATGGATCTGCTAAGAGAAACAAGAAGGCAGCATTTCAGAGAATTAGTCCTCATAAAGAACTTGGGTATGATAGAACACACCACAGGTGCTCAGGGCTCTAAGGTTAGTTTAAAAAATCTCAGTGGGGGAAAAAAAAATCTCAGTGGTTTGATGTTATTGATAAACTACTTCTACATCAAAAGAAAAATAAAACAACACCTACCCAACATTTTTATGACATACCATCTATAGAAGTTCAGTAATTTTGCAGGAACATTTCGATAAGTGTCGACAACATCCACAAACACAATATCATCATAGAGGCTGCTTTCTTCCTTTAGTAAGACATCCTCCTCATGGAGATTATGTATATGATCAAGAAGTCTTCGAGGGCGAGAATGAAGGGTTTTTAAAAGAGCATCGCCTTCTAAAAAGAAAGAGGTGGAGAAAAGAGCTACTGCAGGCTTAAGACTAGAACTTGTAATATTATCACACTAACACACCTCCCAAGGCGACCTAACAGAAAACATTTGTTAGGAATTTTGAGGGAGAGAAACCGGAACTCCCACACACTGTTGGGGGGGGATAAACCCACGGACTCGCTGTGAGGAGCAGCTCAGCAACACCTGGTGAGGCTGAAGGTGTCCGACTGTGACTCAGTAAGTCCAACTGTAGATGCATCCCCAGTTATTTCACACGTTCACAAGGGTATTCATGGCAGCACTGTTTGTGACAGTGAAAAATGGAACCAGTCTAAATGCCTACCGATAAGAGAATGGCTGAATCATGGTATGTTCACATAATGGGATACAGCAGTTAAAAAATTAACCTGCAGAGCAGCACTGCTCACAACAGCCAAGACGGGAACGACCCCATGTCCACTGACAGATGAACAGTAAAGAAGATGTGGTACATATATACAGTGGAATACTACTCAGCCACAGAAAAGGATGATACAGCCATTTGCAGCACCATGGATGCACTTTGAGATTATCATTCTAAGCGAAGTATGAAAGCAAAGGACAAATCCCACACAGCATGACTTGTATGTAGACTCTAAAAACAGTACAAATGAAATTATTTACAAAACAGAAACATTCACAGACAGAAAACAGAACTGTGGTTGCCAAGAGGGAAAGGGAGCAGAGAGTGGGATAGCCTGGGAGTTTGGGGTTACAGATGCAAACTATTCATACATAGAATAGATAAACAACAGGGTCCTACTGTGCAGCACAAGGAACTATATTCAATATCCTGTAATAAACCACAATGGAAGGGAATATGAAAAAGAAGCATACACACACACACACACACACATATATCTAACTGAAACACTTTCTGTACAGCAGAAATTAACACATTATAAATCAACTATACTTCAATAAAATAAATTTTAAAAAAGTCAACCTGATCTTGGATGTTAAGAGGAACAGCACTAAAAAATAATGCTGAGTGAAAAAAAAGTATTTTGCCAATTGCTATATATATATCATAGGTATAAATTATGAAATACTTCATCAAAACTATATGTTATAGGAGTTACATACATATGTAGTAGAAAGTAGGATAGTAAGACTGGGAAGGATGCACATGAGCTTTAAGACAGTGGTGTCCTCTCTGAGGGGAGCAGGAGGAGCAGGGGTAGGATGTCCTAGGAGGGAGGGGCTTCAACTCTATCTGAAATGCTTCATTTCTCCAAAAAAAAAAAAAAAGCAAATATGAAAAAATGTAAACATCTGTTAGTTCTAAGCAACAAGGACATGAGTGTTTCTTATAGCACTATTTCTGGGTTATCTGTGCTATTCCATAATAAAAATGATTACCAATGTGCTTAAAAGACATTTTAATTACCATCTCACAAGCTAATGAATCATTTGTCACATTTGTGCATGGACTGTCCTCAAATAAGGCAGCAATTCTTTCACTGGCACAGGATTTTGTCAACTTAGAAAATCTCTGAAAAATGACAAATGGGTGGCTGAGCGGTAGGGAAGTAAACTGAGAAGTATTTAGCGCTCCACTCTAACTGCAGAGAGCCTGGGGGTGGGGCTGAGACCTGTTTCTGATTTCCACTTCTGCCACTGTCTGTGGGATCCTGGACACACTGCACGTTTCTGGGCCTCAGCATTCTCATCTGTAAAAGGGGGAGCTGGACTAAATCTGTGGTTCTCAGGAAAGCTTATGGAATACAGATTTCTAAGCCCCAAGCCTAGAGAGCCAGCGGAGCCCAGGAATCTGTATTTCTAACCTGTGACTTCCTGTAACTTTGATGGAGGTGGACCACAAACGACCCTTTGAGAAGCATAGGCCTAAATGATCTTGGGTCCCTTCTCAATTCTTACTTTAACATCCTGTCACTTTAAAGGTAAGGATCAATATACACAATTTAACACTTGGAGGAAAGTAGAAGTGTTATAAATTATGGCAATAGGAAAACAGTTGGTAACAAGAGCAGAAATTAAATACAAGCTTTTTCAGTAACAGATTGTACACTTTGGCTTATATTGCATATATCTGGAAACTAGTATACTATCTGTGTGTTTTAAATCTGACCATCTGTCTAGGTGCTATCTACAAGAATCATACAGTTTACAGCCTCTCAAACTTTAGAGGCATTAAATCCATCTAGCAAGCCTGTTAAAATACAGGTATCTGAGCTCCAATCCTGAAGATTCTTAACTCTCCAACCTGAGGTAGGGCCCAGCCAGAGATGCTAACGCCCAACAAAATTTGAGAATTTGTATAGCACGTGATTCTTGTAAACAGTGCATAAATTCTCAGATTAAAAAAAAAATTATAGTCAGCTTTTCAGATATATCTAGTACATGAGAAGTAAGATCTATTCATTCTAATTCCTTTACCCTAAAATTGAGATATTTCTCTCGTCTGAAAGGAATTTTTCTCACCCAAGCCTTAATCCTGTAGCCTCAGAGAAAACATTTAAGATAAACAGTTGTTGAAGGCACAGCAGCTCCTCGCCGTGGAATAGTTCGGTGCCAGAAGTCTCATGGGCCCCTCAGGTTTTTAGAGTCTCCTGACGGTACGGAGTTGACATACTGGCACAAGAGAGAAAGTCGCTAGACATTAAGTCAGACGGTGTGCACACCTGTACCCGCCCCCAAGTGTGAGCTGTTTTATGAACCTGGCCTCCCGACCTGAGTTTCCCCAGGTGACCCATTAGCTAGTCTCTGGTGAGCTAAGTTGGTGCCACCCCTGGCAGAGTGGTCTCATAGTTTTATGAAAAATCTCTGGACTAAAATTAAGGATCCCTAAACTTTACATCTTGATGTTTAATGGCAAGTTTGTGGGCAAAACCTATGTACCTGTTCTGACTTTCCCTTAGGGGTGATGTAAATACAGTGAGGGAACACTGTATAAATAAAGATGCTCGAGGAAAAAAAAAAGGTGCCACAGCCCACTCACATCTTCAAAGTACATGCAGTGGCCTCAAACAGAGGGTTCTGTCGCATCCTCAGTCCTGCACATTAAAGGAGTCCCCCTGAAGAACTGCCTCTCAGAATATGGACTCTGCTTTGCTCAGTCACCTCAGGGTGACTTCACGGAGCTGGGTCCAAATCTTTTCCTAGGAATGCCTGATCTGCAGAGCTCTGAGAAATCAGGCAGGACCACCACTGGGCACCTTTGTTCCGTAAGTGATGATCAGGACAAGTGACCACCAACAGCAGCGTCTACAACAGCTGTCCTTAGGGGTCACTGGTGCAGAATTCTCAGAAGTTCACAAATGTGGGTATTTCCAGAAGCATCACTGAAGACACACACAGCGACTCCTTTTTGAGGGTGATAGAAATGGTCTGGAATTAGTGGAGATGATAGCAGAATGCAGGATATACTAAAAAGTATGGAATCAAACACTTGATAAACTATATGGTATGTGAATTATTTGTCAATAAAAACTATTTTTAATAACTAAAAAAGGAAAAGATTACCTTTCATGACTAAAGTATGAAGATGAAGTAGGTGAGATTCTGTATGCTTTTCAACTTTCAACCAGCTGACTTACCCTGAATAGTATAAATAAAACCACCTGCAACTCCCTCCACACCTTCCATGAATTCATGAGGCAAGGCACCCTCCCCAGTCTGAAAGAGACAAGAATATAATAGTGCTTGATGCTTCATGACTATAAATACATTCCTTACACTTGAAAATTGATTTTGCAAAATTCATAATGTGACTCCACGGCACATGAATCCATCTAAGATGCTATCAGGATATCAGCATTCTACTTTTGCCGTTGTCTAATTATTACAATGTCCAAGACAGGTATACCGAATAATCTCCAGACTGGTGTTCAGAATTCCAGCTTACACAGAATCATATTCTTGAACTTGCTACCAACATTATTACCAAAACCAGCTTTATTTTACATCCCCAAACTCCCACACTTAAAAATAAAATTACTATCACATTTGAGTACTTGGAGATTGAAAATGCCCGTGAGTTCAAATACACCAGGCACATTTTAAAGTGTCTGCTACCATACAGTGAAAAGCCCTCTAAGCCAATAGTTGAACCAGATTACTGATGTTGAAGGTGCCCAGAGATTAATGTGCCAACAGCAAACAACAGTCCTGTCTACCTCTCAGCTTTGGAGGAGCTGTTGTTTTTAGAGATGTGCCTCTTTTCACCTCAGGTTACCCAAGGCCCTTACTGGACGTGAGGGGCCTCACCTTTGGGTGTCACCCCCCAGCACGTCTACCAGCTGCTGAAGGCTGGACCAGACTGCCAGTCATGCCTCAGCACATTTACAGCATTTTTTCTACATACTCACCCAATCAAGAGGCCTTACTGCCTGCCTAGTCCCTTTTTGAACAGATCCTTCCAGCAGAGCTCTACTATACAAAGTAATGTTTTAAGGCCAGTAGAGACACAAGTGTTCTGGGGTGATTGAGGTAAATCACCATTTAATTCAGAATATGATTTGTAGCTGAATGTGGAGAAAATTTCTAGAGGTGAATGCTACAGATTCCAACTTTGTAAAAAAGACTGCACACTCTTTTTTTGTTTTGTTTTTTTGTGGGCGGTAGGGGGAGTTGTTTTTTGCTTTTTCAAAGGAAAAAAAAATCTTTTTCAAAAGATTGCACTTTCTTGGGGGGGGGAGTTGGTTTTTTCTTATTTTTAAAAACTGTACACACTATACTATTTTCTTGTGTAGAACTTGACAGTACTTTATTAACTTCTATCTAAAATGTCACATCTTGGCTTTTATTTTGCCTCTGAAGATTTTCTGAGGTTATTACTTGCTGGCAAGGGAACAAGACTTAGGAAAACTTACAGCTCTGTGCATTTATGATGAAAACCTTTATTTGCACATGGGTTCCTTAGAATAGACTCCTAAGCAGTCAAATTTTTTTTTTCCTCCAGTTAGCTGAGTGTTTAAGCTACTATTTATTAACCTTCCACAAGGTTTCCTGTTGGCTCAGATGGTAAAGAACCTGCCTGCAATGCAGGCGACCCAGGTTCAATCCCCTGTGTCGAGAAGATCCCCTGGAGAAAGGAATGGGTACCCACTCCAGTATTCTTGCCTGGAGAATTCCATGGATAGAGAAGCCTGGCGGGGTATAGTCCATGGGATCTCAAAGTGTTGGACACGACTGAGCTTTCACAGCCCTCCACAACCATATTCATTCCCAAAGCAGATCATGTGAATCTTTACCTTAAATCTAGCCCAAAACTCAGAAGTAAACTGATTTCCTTTCGTGCAATCAACTGAATAGTATAGAATTCTGTGATGTTTCGCATATTTAAGTTTCACACACAGAAAAGGAGACAAGAAATTCAAGGCACTTGCTTTGAAAATAAGGAAAAAACCCTACAAATCCATGAAACACTGTATATTAACTAAGGGACATTTCATAATCAAGGATGAAATCCTAAACATGGCCTACATGGCTAAGGCTGTAATTACACTTGAATGTGTGGGTCTGTCTGTTTAATGTCTTTCTTCCTCACTGGACTGTAAATTCCCCTGTGGGACAGTTATGGATCTCCCAAGATCGTGTTTGCCTCACAGTGAGTATGCAATAAATGTTTCCTGAATGTATAATGTATAATAACAAACCTCATGATTTTCATTTCAAATTCAAGCATAAATTTATGTGAATAAGGTTAATATTTAATGAAATGTACTAAGCCTGTGAATTTAAATGCCAAGTGCTTTCCTAATCATTAGGCCAGAATTCAAGAAGAACAATTCTATGACCGCACCACACCATCACTTATTTATTTAAAGTTCATCATTTTAAGTCTGCTTATACCTTTTTATCATCCTACACTTACTCTGAGAAATCTGTCTGTTTTAAGTTTTAAGAAAATTTGGCAAATGAAAAAGGAAAACCACAAAGCCCAGCAATATAAATGGCAGTGAATATTCAATCTTCTAACACTTTTATCTATAGTATTCTAACTGACATCATACTGTTAAGTGAGACTGAATACTCTAAATACTGAGGAAGTGAACTTAAAAAGATGTTAACCTAAAAACTAATGAGAAAATAAAACATCATACTTCCTAAAATGCACTAATCTTAAGGCAAACTGTCTATGAAGGTTGTAGCTATAAAATCCCAGAACATTTCAGTTTTTCATCTTTTACTATTGGTGACCCAACAACACTTTCTATTACATACGTTCTAAACATAAGATTCATTGTTCCATATGAGTTGGTGTAAAAGTAAACTTAAAAACATTTTAGGATATTAAAGAACGCTAAGGTATGCTAAACAACCTAAAGTAAAAAAGGAAGGACTTACTGTCACGACTCTGAGAACCCCTCCTCCATCATTAACGGTCACTCTGTGGAGATTTCTTGACACGAGGCCTTGGAGGTCTTGGCTCTCCCACACGATCGTACCTTCAAAGCTCTTTTGTAGAAAGATGAACAGAGTCAGTTTCCTTATTGCTGTCATTTAGGTCTTAAGTAAGCTTCTGGGGAAAAGTTTTTCTAAGACACATCAGTTAGAACTTTTATTGTGCACTCCAACACAGCAATAGTAACATTTAGTATATATCTCGGAGTCTTTTTTCATGCACATCTAAATCAACACTTTCAAAGACCTTTCTTTGACAGTTTTACATGCTGCTGTTCTGTCATTTCCCACTGCATCAAAGGCATTTCCTTCTGTGGCTGCAGCTGTTACGACTGCTCTTTTTCAAGGCCTTGTTCCACTGCCACGGAGTGAATGCATCCTGGGCCACTCTGACATCTCCCTACCGTCACACATTTTTGGACCCTATCAAATACCTACTAAAACAACATGAGGCGTGTTCTGGTGTAAATGTTTATTTTCCCCAATAAATCTGTTTTTTTTGTTGTTGTTGAAAATATATCCCCAATTTTCTGTATGACACAGGGAACCCAAAGCTGGTGCCCTGTGACAACTAGAGGGGTGGGATGGGAGGAAGGTTTTAAGAGGGAGGAGACTTGTACCCATGGCTGATTCATGTCGATGAAAGGTAGAAACAATCACAATACTGTAAAGTGACTATTCTCCAACTATAAAGAGATGAAATTACTAGGACAGTAACAGAGATATTTTATATGCATTTTGGCACACATTGCCAAATTGCCTGTCATTAGCAATTTATAAGAATGCCTGGCTTCACTCTCCTTTTCCCAGTATGGGATATTAGTAAAAGAAGAGAAGTTTAAGCTAATTTAGCAGATTTAAAGAAATGATTTTTTAATTGGCGTTTCTTTTGATTTTGGGGAGGGGTGCCATGTGGCATGTGGGATCTAGTTCCCTGACCAGGGATCGAACCTGCACCCCCTGCAATGGAAGCATGAAGTCTTAACCACTGGACCGCCAGGGAAATCCCTGTTCCTTTTGATTTTTAATGATGTGTATCAATTATACCATCTCTTCTGGGAACTGCCTTGTCATGCTTCTTTACCATTTAACCACTGAGTTTTATATATTTCTTATTAATCTGTATGAGCTTGTAATAAATTACCTTAATCCTGTAATATTTTATATACTATTTTTCCAGAATTGTTTGCCACTTCATATTATAGGTTTCTTTGTTTTTTCTTTCTTTGGCCATGGCACAAGGCGATCTCAGTTCCCCAACCAGGGGGTTGAACCTGGACCACCACAGTGAAAGTGCCAAGTCCTAGCCACTGGACCGCCAGGGGATTCCCAGTTAAAAAAAAAAAATCGGTAATTTTTATCCTGTCAAATCGGACAAGCTTTTCCTTAGTAATCACTACTATTAAAACTGGAGCTTAGGAGGTTGTGCTCCCGTCCCTCTTTTGAATCCTAGTGTCTTTTAATCTCTCTACAATTCCTGTTTTTAGTATCTGTGCGTGGATAGCTCCTCGGTCCTGCCAGGTCTCAGCTCCATGGTCGTCTCCTCAGGAAGGCTTTCTCTAGAGACCAAACAGAAGGCAACCAACTCCCAAATGCTATCACACCAGCCTGTCTTCTTTTCTTCATATTTACTTTGGCTGCACAGGGTCTTAGTTGTGGCATGTGAAGTCTTAGCTGCAGCATGTGGGATCTAGTTCCCGGACCAGGGATGAACCCAGGCCCCTGCATTACGACTGTGGTCCAGTCTTAGCTATTGGACCATCAGGGAAGTCCCCAGTCTGTCTTATTTTCTTAAAACCACTTACCACTCTTGATATTTATTTTTCTATTGCCCGTCTAACTGCTCCTCCCACTCGACTGCAAGCAGCAGACAGCAGCGACCTTGTCTGCCGTATCAACCGGCATCTAGAATGTCTGATACCAGGCATTACTCAGGTAAGCAGCTGAAAGACACTGAACTCTAAAGCAAGTGGAATTCTGGTATACGATAGGGCATAAAAGATACAGCTTTAGCATCCTAAAAACATTTCACGTACTAAAATTAAAAGATAAAATACTTTATAGTAGTGTTTCATTCAGCCAGCATTATAAGAGAACTAGACAGAACTGAACTTGTCCCATAAGCTAGGGCAATGATTTGCAAGCTTCTTTTAAAAAAAGACAATAAAACTTCTCTACCACAAAAGATAAGAACATTGAAAGAATCTGGATTCCTCGGGCAGTGTGTCATTTTATATTTTGCAAATGTATCCTTAAATTTCATTATCTGTGAAACTCCTGGTGTCGTTGCCGAGCCTCAGGGCTCCTCAGAGCAGACGCTGCAGACAGCCTGTGTCACCATTTCCCAGCCTTTACAGCAGAGAAGATGAGGCCTATGTAAAAGGGCTGTTGGAGGATCAGTGATAAAGCGTATAGTACATAATGCACTGCCTTTTGAAAAGATTCCATTTCCTCATCTTACTTTCTTAGGTCCTGTTTACTTTCTTAGGTCCTGCTCACTTCTACACTTCCCCGGGTGACCTTAGCTGTTTATTAAACTTGATGTACGTTAACCTCGATCCTTTCTGTAAAAACAAGAAAATGTTCTCACAAATAGGTAATGCACACAGAAGCATTTTTAAGAGCCGAGGGAGAGGACTTCCCTGGGGGCCCACTGGTTGAGCATCTGCCTTCCAAAGCAGGGGATGTGGGTTTGGTCTCTGCTTGGGGATCTAAGATCCAGCACGCCACGGAGCAACTAAGTCTGCACACTGCAGCTACTGCAGCCCGCATGCTCTAGAGCACGTGTGCCACAACTAAGACAGACCCTATGCAGTTTAAGAAAAGAAAGACTGTGAAGAAATACACCTACTATGCTGTACAACAGATGAATGACATCATATTCTTTTAACTTTTCTGTATTTTTGTCAGGTTTTCAACACTGAACAAGTATTACTTTCAAACATTTTCATATTTTTATAATCAGGAAAACTTTTTTTGTAACTAAGCACGTGTATAAAACTAAGTAAACTTGGGGTCAATCTTCTTTCAGACATGAGCCATTATTTAAACTTTTCAGTGCCTACTATGTACCAGGCTGTGGGCTATGTATTTGAAGATTAAAAGAAAAAAAGAAACAGCCACATCTTTAAGCAAGCATAATATGCCATAACATGCTCAATAACAAAGGAAAGTCACTGTTTGGGGAGGTCAGACAGAACTTCAACGACTATGAGAGCTGAGCTACATCTTAAAGGAGTTTGAGTCCAGAAAAATAGGAAGCAGGCAGATAAAATAACAAATGAAAGGGGAGACTTGAAACAGCACTAGATATTCAGAAAAGTATTAAGTAGTGCACTACTGCTAAAGCCCAAGGCTGAGGAGAGAGAGTAAAAGACAGGCCGAGGTCAGCTCTGTCCGCTACAGCAGAGTCTGTTCTTTACCGAGGCAGTGGGGAGCATAGAGGGTTACAAGTACACGAGTGACACGATCGTATTTGCAGTTTTAGAAAGGTCACTCCAATCTCAGAGAGGCAAGAGAGTAGAGGTTGGTACGAAGAATGGTAACCGAGTTATTTCAAAAATCCAGGTGAGAATAAGCAAACACCTATCTTAGGAATTAAGACTGCTGAGAAACTCAAACTCACAAATAAATGTGAAGATATTCCATGATCATTGATTGGAAGAATTAAAAATGTTAAAATGTCAATACTGTTCAGTGCAATCCCTATCAAAATCCCAATAGCATTTCTCACAGAAATAGAACAAACAACCCTAAAGCTTGTAAGGACTCATGAAAGACCTTGAATAGCCAAAGCAATCTAGAGAAAGAAGAACAAAATTGGAGGCCTCACACTTCCTGATTTCAAACTATGTTACAAAGCTATAGTAATCAAAACAGTATAGTACTGGCATTAAAAACAGACACATAGCTCAATGGAACAGAATAGAGCTCAGAAATAAACCTACACATACACCGTCACTTAATTCACAACAGAGGGACTAAGAATATACAATGGGAAAAGGACAGTCTTTCTTTTTTTATTTGGTTAAATAACAAACGCTGGTATGGATGAAGCACAAGCTGGAATCAAGATTGCCAGGAGAAATAGCAATAACCTCAGATATGCAGATGACACCACCCTTATGGCAGAAAGTGAAGAGGAACTAAAGAGCCTCTTGAAAGAGGAGAATGGAAAAGTTGGCTTAAAGCTCAACATTCAGAAAACTAAGATCATGGCATCTGGTCCCATCACTTCATGGCAAATAGATGGGGAAACAATGGAAATAGTGAGAGACTTCATTTTGGGGGGCTCCAAAATCACTGCAGATGGTGACTGCAGCCATGAAACTAAAAGATGCTTACTACTTAGAAGGAAAGTTATGACCAACCTAGACAGCATATTAAAAAGCAGAGACATTACTTTCCCAACAAAGATCCGTCTAGTCAAGGCTATGGTTTTTCCAGTGGTCATGTATGGACGTGAGACTTGGACTATAAAGAAAGCTGAGCTCTGAAGAATTGATGCTTTTTAACTGTTGTGTTGGAGAAGACTCTTGAGAGTCTCTGGGACTACAAGGAGATCCAACCAGTCCATCCTAAAGGAGATCAGTCCTGAGTGTTCACTGAAAGTACTGATGCTGAAGCTGAAACTCCAATACTTTGGGTCACCTGATGTGAGGAACTGACTCATTTGAAAAGACCCTGATGTTGGGAAAGATTGAAGGTGGGAGGAAAAGGGGACAACAGAGGATGAGATGGTTGGATGGCATCACTGACTCGATCGACATGGGTTTGGGTGGACTCTGGGAGTTGGTGATGGACAGGGAGGCCTGGTGTGCTGAGGTCCATGGGGTCGCAAAGAGTCAAACATGCCTGAGCAACTGAGCTGAACAAACATTTATTTCTCACAGTTCTGGAGGCTGGAAAGTCCAAAATCAAGTCACCAGCACATTAAGGTGTCTGATAAGAGCCAGCTTCCTGATTCATAGGTAGCTAGGACAGTCTTTTAAAAAAATGTTTAGGTCATGCCATGCAGCATGCATGCTTTTTGTTTCCCAACCAGGGACTGAACC